CGCACTGGCCCACTGCAAAGCGGGGAGAGACAGGGGTCAGCGGGGCGGGGGCGGGAGGGGGAGGGGTGTCACACCGGCTTACCCTGCACTACCACCGACTGCGTCATGGGCGCCGCTCCAGGAGCCGTTACTAGGCGCGCGCGGGCAGCAGCCGCTGGGCTCCACCCCCACCAACCGGCGAGGTGCTAGCTCTGCCCACTAAAAATCTGGGTTCGAAAGTCCCGCCCCTCGCGGGGGGGGCGCCGGGCGCGAGGCTCACCCCTGCTAGGCTCGGCGTGGAAGGTACCATCCGGGCTCACATCCCCGCCGGGGTGAGAGTATGCGCGACATCTCCCCCCCCCCCCATTGACTTCCTTCTCACGCAAATGGAACGCTCGGCGAGGTGCTAGCTCTGCCCACTAAAAATCTGGGTTCGAAAGTCCCGCCCCTCGCGGGGGGGGCGCCGGGCGCGAGGCTCACCCCTGCTAGGCTCGGCGTGGAAGGTACCATCCGGGCTCACATCCCCGCCGGGGTGAGAGTATGCGCGACATCTCCCCCCCCCCCCATTGACTTCCTTCTCACGCAAATGGAACGCTCCGTGTGAAGGCTGCTGAACGTGGGTGGGCAAAGAGAGGGGCGGAGCCAGAGGTAGCAGATCCATGGCTTAGACTCCTAGAGCTGGAAGAGACCTCAGAAGGACATCAAGTCAGCCCCCTGCCCAAGACAGGACCAATCCCAATTAAATCAACCTAGCCAGGGCTTTGTCAGCTGAGACTTAAAAACCTCTAGGGCTGGAGATTCCACCACCTCCTCAGGTAATCCATTCCAGTGCTTCACCACCCTCCTAGTAAATAGTTTTTCCTAATATACAACCTAGATCTCTCCCACTGTAACTTGAGACCATTGTGCCTCTTCTGCCATCCCTCACTACTGTGAATAGCCTTTCTCCGGCCTCTTTGGAACCACAGTTTAGGAAGTTAAAGGCTGCTATCAAATCCCTCTCACTCTTCTCTTCTACAGATTAAACACACCCAAATCCCTCAGCCTCTCCTTATAGGTCATATGCTCCAGTCCCCTAATCATTTTGATCACCCTCCGCTGGACCCTCTCCAATGCATCCACATCCTTCTTTTAGTTGGGGGCCCAGAACTGGACACAATGCTCCAGATGTGGCCTCACTAGAGCAGAATAAAGGGGAATAATCACTTCTCTGAATCTGCTGGTAATGCTCCTCCTAATTGCTCCTCTCTTGCCCTTGTATAGGCTGGTACCTTTTGTTGCCAAAACCTCCCAGTTTTGGCGACAAAAAACTTCCACCCCTGTGAGATACTTTTGTCTTTTCCCCTACCTTTATTGTTGACAAAAAGCCAGTATGGACTCTGCTGGGGTTTTTTTATGGCAAGAATTGGCTTCCAACGGTATCCTCAATGTCTACCCTGATGGCTGTGCTCCCTGTTTTGTGATATCTGCTGACCTGCAGGCATGCTTCCCCCCACCCCTTTCAAAGTGTAGGGAGGTATCTGACAGCTGAGTAAGCTGCTCTGTTTGGGGAACAAACAAAGAAAAATCATTGGAATGTTCCTGTTTGGCCCTTCTAGGAACACAGTGGCAGGCAGACTGCTGCTGCAGGGAGCGGGCTGGAGAGATTTCTGTGCTGCTTTGATATTCCTGAGCACAGAGAGCTCACAGAGCTATGAGTGACTCTCTAGAAGCGCAGGGATCAGCTCTGCCTTCCCACAACACTGCACTGCGAGATGCTTATCTGCATTGCTTTGCTCTGGGTGCTAGCAATGTGACCTTGTATATCAACAATGGGAGGCAGAAGAATTGGCTTGACTGCTTTTTTGCTTTTGGCAACTTTTGCATGTTGAAAGCACTTTCATTGCCAAACCTTCCCAATGTAGACATAATCCCTGTTGATATTGGGTGCTCTGTGAGCCCTAGTGATCTGGCCCTTCACTGGCATGTGCCACTGACTCCAGACAAAAAGATACTGTCACTGGAAGTTGAAGTGGAGCAGTACAGAGCATGGCATCATGACAGCCTCTACAGAGATGAAACTTTAAATAAAAAACTTAAAATCCAACCACACTGAATATGGCCAAAATAATCACAGGGTTTATACTCATTTTCAGCCTTTCGAGATTAAGCACAACTTCAGTACAAGATGTTAAAATGAAAAATTATGGGCTTGACCATTGGCCTACAAACATTGTAATATGCAAATACTCATGTCAGACTTGCTTTAATTGTGAGTCAGACACCACTAGGTGTTATAATATGATGACCATACCTTCATACACATCAAGGCCTGAATGCGGTATTGGCAACCCCAACACTATGCCTTATCACTCCCCAAATAAGGAGATTGCCCCCAAAATCATGATTAAAAAATTAAATTGTGATTTATGGTCTGTCTTTTGAACCCAAACAAGTAATTTGCTATGGGAAAAGGGGGGCATTTTCCTGACTGTTCATAGATCTATGTGCCCCATTATGTCTTCCTCTTTTTGCCCCTCTCTGTAATGGAATGGAAAATACCTTATTTAAGATAACTGGAGCCATACCTGGCAGAGACTTAAGGATCACATAATCAACACATCGGGGCTATGTCCACACTGGCCTGATCTTGCGCCTGAAAATAATCAGCGTAACGGTATTGTGCAAGAGGATTTTTCTTGCGCTAGAAGGGGCAGTGTAGGCACTCCTTCTTGCGCAAGAGCCTCTTCTGCAAAAATGGTGGCTCATTAGATATGCAAATGAGTCTCGGCGATATTCCACGCTTAGCCTCATTTGCATACTTCTGGCGCAAGATCGCGCCAGTGTAGACAAAGCCCTGGTATGTATAAACAAGAGCTGTGACCAGTCCATATCTGGCACAGAACTATACAACATTGTTTTAGAAGTGGGAGATGAACCCATGCCTCCATATGGACACTATAAATCATTGGAACCCTCAATGGAAAATGGATCAAGTACTGCTGAGATGGCAATGTCTTTTGGTAAGGTTAAGGTGATGTAACCCAATTGATAAGTGGTCCCGGGGGAAAAACCCTGGTAGTAGCAGATACTCTGTCACAGAGCCCGGCATTGCTCTGACCTATCTTAATATAAAGTCAGAGGTGTGGACTTCCCCTCTAGCTGTAGGGTGCTTGCCCTCACCACCTCAGGTCCTACCCCTACTGCACCTCATCCCCAAACTCCCCACCTCTCCTCACCCCTGTTCTTCCTCTGCACTGCTTCAATTCCACACCTTCTTCCAAGTCCTGTACCACTCCCCCACTGCCTCTTCCCCACCTCCTCCCCCTGAGCATGCCCTGTGTCTGCTCCTCTCCTTCCCAGAACTTTCTGGGCATCAACTATATGAAAGAAACGTCAATGACATGCAACTTCAGGAAGTTCTACATTACTTTCGGAGTGGCTGGTCCATGTATGTAAAGGACACTAAGAAAGTGGCATGAGGCTATTTTGTGCACAGAAGCTAGCATTCTCTGGGGCCTGTGGG